TCGCCCTTTGATGCTTTGCATCAATGCTTTTCTTGTTTCTGTTTGAAATGCTCAAGCAGGTCTAAGTTAAATCTTGAAATTTCGTGTTTTTAGGCTTTTGGACCTGAGTGGGGTTCCTTTAAGCTTAAAACCACCGGAAAAAAAGGCATATAAGTCATAATCGCATAGTTAACGTGTGCAATACCAATTGAAGAAAAAGTGTAATATTTATTTCACATAGCTAGAAAACACAACCGAAATCCTGTGACAATTATTAACCGAAATGTATGCAAATTTAGGAGCTCGCAATTTTACAGCTGCAATTTAACTTTATCTTAATGAAATACAATCTACTCTGCGTATCTACCGAAATGGTATGCAACCGGCAACTCCTTTATATCTACCGCAGTAATTGAATCAATTCTCCTCATTAACATGTAATTACGATAATATTGGTATAATAATTGTTCGCTAATTATTTCAACCCAATGACAAAAAAGGACAGAAAGAAAATCCCAAGAAACTTGTATGCAATATGCAACTGAAATATCTGAAGTGTTTTGAAAAAGTTTCACAGACATTTATAACTGGCAGACATGAATATTGGCCACAGCCATGCTCAGTTAAAATTTATCATGACAACCGTGGTCTTAAGACATTGGAGGCCTGGTTGAACATGCTAGAGTAATGTCAAGCTCGAATATTTGGGGCTTAACGGTAACAAAGTATGCATTGTAACATAAATTTGCGTGAAGTTGAAAGTTAGCCCAAGAGTTGCCGTGCCTCTTTACGGAATGCAAATGGGGGAGACGATTGCATGTCTCCTAATGAGCCAAAATATTTCAAGGAGATCAAACTTTAGAAAACTGTACTAGGATTTGAAGACTAGAAAAAAGATTAACCAATCAAGTTGTAATTAACATGTAATGTGTGATTGTAGTTATTATTACCATAATTCTACTGCTTGAGCGGTATGGGCTATTTCTGCATATTCTGACTTCTGGTGTTTGCAATGTGTGTAAATTAACTTTACAATATTTTACTCTAAAATACATTTTCAAAATTTTCATGATAATCAATCAGCATGAATCTGGAGGCGTGCTGCCTTCAGATATTCGGTTCGAATGCAAAGAACATTATTTACCACGCTAAAATAACCTAAAGTGATTTTTTCAACAATCAATGTTCCTTTCCATTTTTTAATGTATTCTTTCTCACGATTACAAAATGATAATAAAATCACGGTATGATATCCTTTTATCGAAACGGGACGTCTTAATTAGTCCTCGATGTTTTGATATTTCCTGAAATCCGATTAATGAATTTATTAATACATGTAATACAAACTGTCCTCGGAGCTAGATTTCAGACTTTCCCTTCTCGATCAAAGACATAGAAATGACTTAAAAACTTCATTTACCTAATTCATTTAATACATTTTATTAATTAGCATTAAGTAACAGATAATTGAGCGTGTACTAAGTAAGAAAGACATAAATAAATTAAGTCACTTACCATGCACCCTTTTAAATTTTATCTTTCAAGTTGACCAAAATATCATCATAAATTTCGCTAGAATTCTTTGATAACATTTAATAAGAACCCCACGTCAATTATCTCTTGCAGTCATGTTTTAACTAGAAGTTGTTAGTGCTGGTAAACAAAACAGACCGATTATTTATCATTTTAATTTGACATAAATAATATGTTTTTATTGTTTTCATAAGATATCGTAGAGTATCGTATTTTCTCATTTAGTGTTGACACACGTCCATTCAGAACCGCTATACAACCCGCTGGGTTGGGCCAACAGGTTTAATGATGTGGGCAGTTTGACACCGGATCGTTAAATGATTTATCCCTAATAAACACGTTAGATTATTTCTCACGTGTGGGGAAAAAATTAGACTTTAAAGGCTCATTATGCCCAAGAAATGCTTAATTTTTATTTCTCGAAAGTTTTTAAACGTTGGTGTTCTTTTATAAATTCCAAAAAGTTACCCATTGACTTATTACATGAATTATCTTTTGCATATGTTGCTTTTTGGCATATTTGAATTAGTATTTTGTATGGAAGACAAAACTAATACTTTGTTTACATGTTAAAAAAATATTTCACATTTATCGCTACTTCCTTCAGGTTACAATAGCACCTAAAATTCACTTAAACCATTATTTAAATCTTATAAATTTCATGTTTGACCTTTCTTATTTAAGAAGTAAAAATATATTTATATCTGACGCATAATGGGTCTTTAAGAAGGGTAAATTACAATAGTTTAGAAAATATATATGTATTTACAATAGATAAATGTATGTTCTACGCAAAATATGAGGCTTTTATAATACATTGTATGTATCGATACTTAACCTTTAATCTACTGGAATCGAAAATGATTGACCGTGCATTCTGTCCATGACTCCGTTTCATAGAACTTATGACAAACTATAGGACTAACTTATAATAGGACCGTTTCAATAAACATTTTCATATTCAGTAAAAGTTTAAGTTCATTCTCCAAAAAATGGTCACAAAATACAATAGCACGCACTTTTGGTCTTAAGATATATTTTAGACTTTCTATGCAACACAGCCAATTTTCTCTACACTGTTTGCTGACTAATTTTTATCTTGGTACATGTGTATTCCCAAAAATTAATAAAAAAAAATTAAATCTGTTTTAAGTCAATTTAAGAAATTCAGCAGGTTAAGAATAAAACCGCGCTAAAGAAACGTTTTCCTTATCAGACAAAAAAAAATCATAACTTCTAATAAATAAAATGTCTTGATGGCGTGCTTCTGTAAAAGATTAACAGTCCTTGTTCCAAATCAGGCGCATATTATATCTACTGTAATGAATATCAGATCCATTTTGACGTACACTATAAGCTTTCCACTCAACTATCATTTAACAAAATTAAAATCACTCACGATTACGCCTTTTCATGTCTGGCCGTTAAGGGAATATGGTAATAATGATGATAATGATGATGATGATGATGATGATAATGAAGAAGAAAAAGGAGAAGAAGACGGTGATGAAGATTGTAGTGTTGGTGATGAAAGTATAGTAGTAGTTGAAGTAGTAGAAGAAGAAGAAGAAGAAGAAGAAGAAGAAGAAGAAGAAAAAGAAGATGATGATGATGATGATGATGAAAAAGTAACGAAATTAATTAAATTACTTTGACTAATTGTGATGTCAACGCTATAAAATAAGATGAAACTAAACAACATGTGTATAAAGTTTCGCTATTTAATGCCGCCGATAAAAATTAGGGAAAAGAGTATCTTTTAAAAGCTAGTATATCACGAAGGCAATAAAATAAACAAAGCATTGGGACAGAAACAGTGTTATTATTAGCTCAGCGTCATGGCTTTTAAAAACAAAACAAAACAAAAAATATTTTCCCGAAAATAGTCAAAACGTTATTCTTGGCTAAAAAGCCACCAGGATCGCTGCCACACCTAAAATGGTTAAACACGATATCTACTTTCTAATACTTACCGTATACATCCAATTTATATAAATCGCCTGATTTTGGTAACTTTTATTTGCATACCCGCTGTGAAATTACCCGTCTTTTCATTTGTTATACAATCGTTTGCCACAGGAACAATAAATTACCGACTAAAAAGGCGGATGAATACAAACAGTCGAGTTATCTTACCTAATAAAGGGTGGAAAATGAAATTTTATCTTATTAAGGGGCAGTAATCGTTACATAGACATCAAAAAGGCTGCTAATTTGGGTCCTGATTCAACACGACCTTTTGAAAATTGGTAACAGTAAATTTTAAACGAACGCTGGAAGATTAAAGAACTCATTCATTTATTTTTTTTGTTCACAAAATTTATTCGTCCGAACCGATATACCTCAACATCAGAAGTTTTCCGATTTTTTTTTTAATTTGTCAAATTCAAAGAGATTGTAATGAAATCTTAATTGTGGCAAAACATGAATTTAACATTACAAGACTAGAGAGAAACCAAAAACTGCGATCAAAATTTGGTGTGCTTGTCTGTATTAGGGATTAGTATATAATTTGATTTTCGGCATCGATAACACGCCCGCAATATCTATATCATATGATTTCACCCAGATATTTTTACAATATAAAAAGAAGAAGAATAAAATAAGTGATAAGCCGATTTTTGTTCATCAACGTTTTATCATATTATCAATACTGTATAATTTTCTTTTCTTGGCTTAAAATGTGAATTTCACTTAATATCAACTTTTTCGAAAAAAGGGGTATTCATGACCTTTGAAGCATAAAGGCTTATGATTAAAGGTGGCATAATTGTGAGATTTTATGCGTTGTTTTATTTTTTCGTACCAATAATAACGTGAAGAAGATACTAATACAGTTATATCGTGTTACAAAGAGTGCTACCGCGTAAAAGATGTTAAACACTTCAAGAAAGAATATAAATGCGAATGGACGAACGGACAGACCACCAGGATAAAAGAACAAAAATCAGTAAAAAAGAATTTACTAATAAGTGTAACTAATATGTACGTCATAGCGGTTTTACAGGTTGTCGATTTAGTTTCTGCGGTATACCTATTTCATCCCTAGTGTAATGGGTGTTTAGAGAGAGTTAATTTGACAGTTAATCTATATCGTATTTTAAAGAGATAATATTTTAATTAAATTTTGTCACGTTCTTAGGTTTATTTTTATTTCAGGGATTTTATGAATGGAAATTTTAGTTTCCGGGAGATATAAAATGCTTATTACATTTTCGTTTTAAATAGATTCAAATTACATCGTAATTTCCTGGGTTTTAGTTATGCTTATACTCTCAATTCAGGTAAAGGGCTTGAGATGAGGTATAAACTTGTCTTTAAGTGTCATGAGTCAATTTTTCAAGTACCCGAAAGTTGTAAATGTAAATAAATTGTTCTCTAGCCTATTGGTAAACAGCCGTAAACTCGTCCTCTCGCAATTCGCAAACAGGAACACTATGTAAACCTTTCATCCGCCTAATTACATTAATAATACCCAGATCATTTTCAGAGTCGCATTGTAAACAAAACGGTGCAAGTTTATAAGACGGAGTCAATTTACAATTTTCGGCCATTCGATTATTGTCTTGCTGATTGGTAGACATTGCAAAGATTTGTGTTAATAGGTTTCAAGTGAGTTTTCAATTAAAGGCTGTGTCGATTTGAAAATAATTTTATTAACTTCATTCAGTGAAAAACTATTCCAGTTGTACATCAACATCTTTAATTAAACATAAATACTAAAAAAATAATATAAATACAGTTACATTCGAAGTGAGCTTACAAAAAATAACGCTGTAAAAGGAAATAACGTAACAAGAAACACATTGACAACGTTGACGTGAGAAAATTATGCCAAAATCGTTTCTAGTAAATCGGAGTGACAGACTCAAAACTACAGGTAACCAAATTTAATAATAAAATGTATTTTTATGTAACCACTTTAGCTTTAAAATTGATAAAAATACTGAATATTTATGTAAGGTTTTTATTTGTTTTGAGGAACGCAACAGAAATTTACAGTAAATTGTTTTTGTTACTTGGTTACTTAATATACAACATAGTAGATGTATCACGTAACAGAACGTGACAAAATTATATAAATTACTAATCACTTTCAAGATTGAAAACAAAAACAAAAACAAAACACAAAACAAAACAAAAACAAACTGTTCAAGGGAGGGCTTTTATTGGTAAAATTCAAGCGGAAGAAAAATATATGTAGTATAACTATAAGAAATGTTAAAATATTCCACAATTTTGTAAAGTTTGTGAAGTTTTGTTTTTATTGCGAGACAAACATTTACTGAATTTATTATTTTTTTGATTTATTGATAATTCAGAAATAACTTGTGGATAGAAAAAACGAAACGTAATAATAATAAGACAATGTGTGGTAGTAGATAATCATGAAAGCCCCTTGTGGCGTCATGGTTGAGGCATTAGGAGGCGACTAAAATGGGTTTGAAATACCCGAGTCTATGTATCTCTTAGCTCCAGCAGGTGTGATGGTTTTAACCTCTGGTGTTGCTTTGAAGTTAAAAACACCCGAGGTTAGTCAAAATCATAGTTCCTGTTTCGGCACTATATGACCTATACTGTGATGGTGCGCCGTAAAACCAAACACACAAACAAACAAACAATGATGAGGTTATGTAATTCATACAAAATTGTCATTTATGATGTAAGTTTCCATTAAGAAAATCAGATAAGATATAAAGGAAATAAGTCATGACAGCGGGAAATTATTCACAGACAAATCACACTGAATAACGGCATGAAGCAGCCGGGACTCGAACCACGGGTCTCTGAATTGCCGGTCCAGTATGCTAACCATTACTACATAATGTATAATGTATATATATATGACCTTTTTTTTAATACATACCTGAACAACAACAAAAAATATTTGATTTACATATTAATTACACGGTGCAATTGCCTAAGATTTTCATGTACAGTGATAAAATGAATGATTTTGTAAAGTATTTCCGTATATTTAAAATCCAAAATAGGGTATTGTACAAAAATGAACTGTACTCGGGTGACGACATATCAAGAAGAGTATGGATACGCATAAGTATAAATTAAGAATATATGGTAAAGCATAAATGAAATAGGTAAGTAGGAATGAATAAGAAAATAATAGTAAATAAAATATGTAATTCTAAAGCTATGATAGAATATGAACAAAAATGTGTGAATTAAGTATGAATAAAAAGGCATGAATTTAGTATAAATCATTAGGTATGACTAAAGTATTAATTTAAAGGTATGAATAAAGAATCAATGGAAAACTATGAATAATGTTATAAAGTATAAATAAAAAGCTATGAATAAATCAATTAATAAGGTATGAATGAAGCATAAATGAAAAAAGATCGATTAAAGGCACTTTAAAATGTTTGATAAAATGTAAATAAAATAATGTGATAGGGTGTAAAACAAACGAAATTGTAAATACAAAAAAAGGAAAAAAGTAAGAAATGGAAAATACAATCTACAAGGATATGATTTTTTTGCTAGAATAATATAATGCAGAAACATATTTTACCATTTTGCACACGCACGTGACCGTTTTATTATGAACGCTTACCAAATTTAAGATAATGGGCATATTTTAAACAGTACGTATTTTGTTTATAGGCGGACACAATTGTTTATTATCTTATCATTATTGAACAAAAACACGCGAATTTCGTGCAAAAAAAAATCCCACCCTTTTATGGGAAGAAAGAAGTGAGTTGAAAATTTGCAGACGTATAAAACAACAGACAGAAACAAAACATACATAGTTAAAAATAAAGCCAAAAAACACAAAAGTTATTTACTAATCTAAGTAATTCAAACCATTAACAGAACTAAAGGAAACGCATACACTTAAAAAAAATTAACGGAAGACGTTTGAAAAAAAAAGTCAAATCCTAAAACAACGGAACTTCTTCTGAAATGAAAATGTGTGCAGGACAGCGCTTGGCTCCATTATCCCTCTTAGGACGATTAAAGCAGCAGCCTCTAGATTCATGATTTTTTAAAGTAAAACATTGTAAAATAAATGAAGTGTCATGTGACAAACAATACTTACAAATCCTGTTAATTACCAAAATGAGGTTAAAATATGTCAAAATACCTCTTACTGCGTTAGTCACGCAGTAGAAATGTGGTGATAAATATTGCAAAATCAGTCATTAATCGAATAAAATATGTAAATTTTTACTGAATTCTTGAATCTTTTACTTTTCTTAAAATCTAAGAGCACTTTTCTAGTGCTTTTTTTATTTATTTTTAAGTTTTATTTTCTTAAAATATTTTGTCTCACCTTGAGGCGTGCGGCTTTAAAACCACCTCACGATTGCTGCATTCAATTATTACCTTATAGTCTAAATATAGAATTTCCTAAAATCAAGATACATCCAGTTCATTCGGTGAGCAACAATGCCTTAATCTGGTCAAATTAATTAATTAATTGATTAATTTAAACGCGCCCGTAATTCTTAAACAAGGCCGCAAATGAATAAAACAACGGTTCGGATAATATATTTGTTTCTACTAAATTTATTTCTTTTCTTTTAAAGAATTTAAGAAAAAAAAACAAATTGATAAATATTTTTTTTTAAAAGTTTTTCGCAAGTTTACAAGTTCAACAGTCATATTTCGATCGCACTTCAGTGCGAGAAGTGCTGTACATATGTCACTTTTTTGTATAACAACATTGGGAAATTTATTGCATTTAACGCAGCGCACTTTTATCAGTTGTAAAAAAAAACAAACATTCCGCTTAGGGTATGATACACTATTTTATAAATTTTCATATTTGTTCACTACCGACAACTATATTAAATTATGTTCAAAAAGTCAAAGACGTTGTTCAAATCAGTTAAAATCAAATTTAATTTATTATATAGTTAGAAATCGCAAGAAATAAGAAAGCCAAACCCGTTTTTTTAAAAAAAATATTAGTATTATCTTTATTGCAATTTTGAGGTAATAAAAATCTTATTCAGAGCTTTATACATAAGTTTGCTACTTTTTTTTCATCGCATAAAAAATTACACCTTAAAAAGTTGTATTTTACCTTAGTCATTTGCGAGAATAAATATTCAAATTCTAATGTAGGAAAACATATATCAAGGGCTATTTCTCAATCTTGACTGAAGCCAAATCAGTGTTAAACAATCCTATTCGAGCTATTAAACGGCTGAAACCCTATATTTGCGGTTATCTTTCTAATGGTAATGAGGCAATGTCCACTTTACTGCTTCGACTGGTTTTTGGTTGAATCTGACCAGCTCTCCAGTGCCCGAAAACCATATTTAGTGCCCCCGCGAGACCGGATCTTGTTTCCGTATGACAAATTTAATGGTTCGTGCACTACCCATTTCGACCCCGTTTTTCTTTGAAAACGCCCAATGGTGAGACATAAACAGGTCTGTTCTTTTGATCTCTCTATTGTGGATCTTAAAGCCCCCATCTAGAATACTAATGACATTAAATCAGAAGTAATTTGCTTTAAATTTGAATCTTATTGACTTAAAACAGGGATAAAAGTCCGTGATAGCGGTTACTTTAAAAGTTTGCAGGTGCTTGTTAACTCAATTTATAGAAATTTGAATACAAACAAAGATCATAAACATTAAAAAGTAAATTTAACTTTGAAAGAAGAATTAAACGCCTACTTATTAAGCTTTTAATCCCGTAGATTTATATGTGTGTCGCAATTTTGCGTTGAATTTGTCGGTACTATGTCTGAAGCGCTGACATTAAGCCCACGTGAAACGGAGAAGATTCTTTTGAAAAGAAGAAGTAGCTTACATTTAAAGAGTACTTACATTTAAATAAAACCATATAAAATATGTTTTATGTTAAACTGTAAGTAAATGAACATTTGCACCCTTAGACAGTCCGGTTTTTTTTATATTTTTTACGATCTATTTCTTCTTCTAAAAGTATATTTGGCCTGAAAAAAAGGCGGGTTAATCACCAGTAACTAATTAAATTGTTCATATACCGATTATATACTCACCGATAAGTTTCCCGTACTTTTATTTTTTTCTTAAAACAGCCAAATAAGTTTTTTTAACGTAATGGAAACAGTTTTGAATTGGCACTTTAAAAACTAAAGACACAAACATAATTCATCATACATGGACAGAGGGGAAATATCAAGTTTAAAAGGTACATAATACTATGTAGTGTTTTCTTTGATAGTTTAAATAATGTTCAGTTTCACTTTCAATTTACTGCTACATTAAACCATTCTCTACGCCTCCCAGGAGCGCAAGTGACCCCTTAAATATTAACGCTTTACTCTGGGTGTCAAAACGTAGCGCATGGTAATTGTGAAGCATTGTTTTAAACTCATAATTAACCGAGTATAAACAAATAAAACCTGACAGTTCCTGATTAGAACGCGCAGTGATATCAGATAAGTGATAAAGCTACAAGAGCGCTACCAATCACGGACGGCCTAATAACCACTTAAATAAACAGGTGGCTTCCACCAAATAAATAGTTCTGAATGTTTTCGGTATTTCATGCAACAAGTGTCTAATATGTGAAAAGTGTTTGGAATTTACAAAATAAAAACATATTTTGGTGATAAAATTTATTAATTGAACAAAAGGTAAACGTTTTTAATCTAAGCGTTATATTTCATTATCAATAATTATTTTTCGCGTGAAGGAAAAAAAAACTATTTTCTCTGCTAAGTTTAAAATTGATGAAAGATAGGCACTTGGTTATACATCCAAATAAAAATAATAATCCTGTTTATTCATCTCTCTTTCGATTTTATTTGTTACGTTTTATTATAATATACAAAATAACTAAATTATCTTGTTACTTTTATAGTTGGTGTTGTTTAACTTAAAGCCTATGTTTAAACAAGGTCTTTTATTTAAAACATTTCCATCCACGTAATAGTGGAATCAATAATAATAATTACAACAAAGTCAAATGATATTGAAGATAATTTTCACAATTTTATGATGATAATGCAGATGATAATTGGGAATGTTTTCTTAATTTCTATGACAATTTAGATTTATATATGCCAATGTTATGAAAATAATAAACATTATCAATTGATAATTTGAAAAATAACAGATTACTGTCTGTCATGAGGATCATTTACGCAAAGTGAAAAAAGTATAGGCGCATGATAAAAAAATGTTGATAATTGATTAATTGATTATAAACAGTGTATAATTTTTTTTATTAGAATTGTCATTTATGATTGTTGTAAAAATTCACTTAGTCAGCATACCCTGAGATTCATACAATTTCTTCGAAAACTTTTGTTTTCAAAGTCAAGCAAATTGTACTGTTAAAGCGGGTATCTCATAGCTTTGAAAAAGTAAGTGCTTAAAGAAATTATAAAAGTCTCAATATCAACGGAAATTGAAACGTTTTAAACTACGCTGGAATAGCCCTCATACTGAATACTGTTTTGTAAAATAAGTTATCATCTGAGATTTTAACTTCAATCATGTTTTATGTTTTACTCTCAGTGTGAAAAGAATATATACATTAATTATTTTCTAAAACAAATATTCTAAACTACTTTATGTATTAATATAACTGGAAGCGCGCGCTGCTTTCATTATAATTCTTTATTGTATGATTTAATTAAACAAGTGTGTATTTCCATATCGCAGGTTCAAATAGATAACAGTATCAAGGACATGACTGATATTTTAACCATTGCAAATTACTTGTAATGTTCCATTAAATGATTGTTAAACAGGATGGCCACTAACATATTAATTGAAGTAGCCACTTCAAATGGCCATAAAATTTCGCAAGATACCGTATCAGGCTTTTATGGTTCTATACGGTTCCCAGGTCTGATAAGCCCGAGGAGCGAGTTGTTTGAATTATAATAATAAATTCAGAAAAGGGGACATCTATCTGATAATGTTAATAAGCCGTGTGATGGTTCCTGGGAAGAATGAAAATTAAAGACATTTTGGCGGTCATTTGATTAGGAATGAAATGTGCATCTTGTACAAGATGTTTAAATAACACAATTTAATACATTTTTGAGCTATTTTAACCTAAGTTTTAATAGTTCAACTAGCTTTAAAGAATATCAGAAGTAAAAAAACCCAACAAAAACATAAATTTAAAGAGTAAAATTTGTTTTTTAGGTCATACGGCGGTTTTCCTGCTCAGTCTGACAAAAAAAATCAAAAAAATCTGGTATTTCAGACTCAAGCGGGCACATAAGTATGTAGAGCTAGGTGGTTAGCTTGTTGAAATGAGAGAAGTTCCTGGCGGGATTCAAACCCGAAACTGGAATGAAATGCGTTCAACGTCTGCGACCTTAACTACTCGGCCGCTATATGATACTCATTTATTTCTATATACTGCATGTTGTGAGATATGTACGGTAAAACTTTGCAAAAATAGATAAATATTAAATAAATATTAAACAATATTATTATGAGCAGTTCAGAGATGATCTTTGTCTACCGGATATATGGGGGTAATTGTTTAATAAAAACGGAGTCAGTGTTTTTAAAATAAATGTTGACATTGCATCAAAACATGACAGCAGATCCAGTGAACGCTCCGCGGTCCCCTAGATTAAATGTTGTCTGCGTATTTTGTGTAGATATAAAACATTAAAATAAAATATTTAGAATTTTTTTGGTCTTGCGTAATTCTGTCCTATGACCAGCCCACATTTGCGTAAACAACAACAACTACAAAAATTTCTGTACATAAAGAAATATATATTTTGTTGAAATGTTATAAATATGAATAATTTAAAGATTCAAGCATTTCGTTCAGTATCAATCTTAAAAAAAACAACTTTTTTTACCTGAATGAAGTTATTTATTTTTAACGGAATTTAAAGATTGTACAAAAAAATAAATAAAAAATGAATTAAAAAAATCAGTAGTTATATTTACAAAAATATCAATTTTACTAGGGTCTTTGTAGTACAACAGTAGACATTTAACGCGCGCTAGGAGGTAGCGCGTGACAACACAGCGTTGGTCGCCTGCCGACAGATAACTCGGCTGCTGGATTTAGTGCGCACATTTAAATATAAAACAATAAATATTATTCATATTTTGATAATAATTTTGCGCTTAAGTTTGGAGTTGTCTTTTTTGTAATGTAATTATTTTATATTTTAATACAATCTAATTTGTTATAAATTATTTCATTGTTTAAAGATATGATTCTATACATTTAAATGATAGCAATAGATCTGATGATCTTTGAATTCTTTTTCTTAATACTTTTATTTTCTTTTTATAGAACTTCAAGGAAACAAATTACCGGAATCTTCGCTGGAAACATATTTCAAAATGGCGAGTGTTACTGGACTTCCGGTCTACCAGACGACAGATTCCAACCTGCCGTACAGATACACGACGGACATTCTTTCACCGTACATCAACGCCGGAAGCATGTCTAATTGGCCGTTGAACAGTCTGTCTGTAAATCACTGGAATTATTATAACCTGATGACGTCATTTACGTCGATGTACCACATGAATAACGTCAGATATTCACCAAAGTCACGTGACAGTGGGATTTCATCTCCAAATAGCGTAGGATCTTTAGATTTGTCGATCACAAAATCAATAAAAACAGGTAAGTGCTGTAACTTTTTTTAATTATGAAAATCAAACGCATTTTGCACTAGCATTTCTGAAAATATATGATTATTTGACGTTGGCATAGAGGAAAATCTTTGCTATATCCAAATGATGTCGTTTTAGTTTTCTTAAGGTTCACTGAGGTCCAAAATTATAGAAACATAAAAGTTGAATATTTTACATACAAATGAAATTTTGCTTTAGCTTAGGGCACTTAAAGCAGACGAATTTGCAAATGATAATATAGAAATATTCTCAGATCGTATTTCTGTGTCATTTCTATTCCGATGTAAGTGAAAGACGTTTATTTTTGGGTAATTTTTCACAAATAGAATATACATTTTCTGAAAAACAAAAAACAAAAACAAAAACGAATGATCTGAAATTATGCACATACGCTATTGGTCTAGATCTAGACTTGAAAAGGGAAAGTTTGAAAGTACAGAGAAGGCGTGTGTATAAAATAACTAAAATTATTATCTCTTTTCTTTATATATAAATCTGAATACTTATTTCAGAGTCACCATCCCCCGTGAAACAAAAGCCAAAGTTTGATTTTGCTAACCTTGCAAAGTCTGCTACAGAAGGGAATGATTCCCACCACGACAAACCGCCGGCAAACACAGACGCCCAGATCTTCAGCCGCATGATGATAAATACAGGTTCATTAAGGTATTTGCACTTTAATTTTGTTCAAACACATTCGTTAGGTCCATTGATAAAAGGTGTAGGATTTAAAGTATATATAAACTATTTTGTGGAAAGTAATACAGCTAGATTTTGGCATACTGAGCAGGTGAAAGATAATGGAAAGGCCGTTTTAATATTTCTGTATCCCTTCTTTTCCAGATACAATCCGCTTACAAGCAGTTTCCGCCCGGCTTCTAAACAACAAACCGAAACTTTAAAGAGACCCAGAGGACGAGGACCAGCAAGGTGAGTTAAGACTTTTCTTTTATTTAGAACTATAGACAGCGCAGTTCGGTACAGTTTAGTACAGTGCAGTGTAGTGCATTGCAGTACAGTACAGCGCAGCACAGCACAGCAGCACAGCACAGCACAGTACAGTACAGAACAGTACAGTACAGTACAAAATTAACTTATTGAAGTGGACTGGGTTGAATAACAAGCAACAAAATTGTCATTTGTTAAAGGTATAATAACATAATGACATATCCTAAGCCCAAATGTCACGGGTTACAAAATAATTAAAGGCTTTTCAGCAGATGCAGACCGATTCATTCCGTAATCCTTTGGTCCTTCTTTTCTGTGAAATATCGTTCTGTTCGTTTCACTTTGTTCCTGTTTTGCGTTCCTTACTCACGCCAATTTTTTTACCCATCATGCAATTTATCATGAAAATAAAACAAATGTTAATCAATCTTCATATCAAATACCGTATACAGCTATCAATGCCTTTACGTCCAACGGCGCCATTTTCAATTAAACTTGAAAAACAGAAGTGACAGGATTTAAATTTGCAATTTAATTCGATAATTGGTTGGCACCGGCCATATCCAGGACTGCCGATGGAGTGAAACATATTCACCAATTTACATTACCAGTCATGCACGCAATTAGCGTTTTGTCTGACCTTTTATTTTAACAACTACCTGTTTATATTACAATTTGAAATGGTGATAACGTTTAAAGTTGAAGATATATGGTCGGAAAACGCCATGGGAGTATCTTCAGCGGTATATATAAACGACAGGCACCTGGTCGCTTATATAATTAACAAATTTATGCGTAGAAAAAAAATTCACACGGTTTTCCTTCGATTTTTCGACGTCTGTCATCCCTTCAGTATTTTCAGTTTACAAAATGTTTGTTTTCATACAAAATATCCATATAAAAAAGCTCTTTAAATATTGCTCTTTATGAGATTAAAGAATTTATGCCGATGACGTGATATTTCCGATAAATGATAAATAATTTCCTAGACACTAATAAGAGGATAGAAGTGCATGTATTTTAATTCAAGCACATCTGTATTAACTATCTCAAAGTCCAAATGTTGATAATAATAATAATAATAATAATAATAATAATAATAATAATAATAATAATAATAATAATAATAATAATAATAATAATAATGATAATAATGTTAATAATAATTTAACAATCTTATTACAGGACAAAGAAGGAGTTTATTTGCAAGTACTGTGGTCGCCATTTTACCAAAAGTTATAATCTGCTCATTCATGAACGCACACACACGGACGAACGCCCATACAGTTGTGAGATTTGTGGTAAAGCGTTCAGAAGACAGGATCATCTCAGAGATCACAGGTAACCAAAACATTTCATTACTGTTTTTAACCATATATCATCGACTCGGGTTATATATGCCAACAACCGTTTATATGGTTTGTCAAAGATCTAAGATCTTAGATTTGTTATTTTGCTGATTTTGTGTGTCTTAAGTATGCTTTATCTCGAAAAGACCATTGACTTTTTCTCGCCACGCAGCGATACCTTCTCGCTTCATAAAAATGTAACGTTCGTATATTTGTTAATGATATACAAACATCAAAATTGAATATATATATTTCAAGCAGATCTAAGAGATTTCTGACATAATCCTGTCCATATTACACAAGAAGTGCTCATTGATATTTTTACTTAAACATATCTTATCCGTACGGGTTTTAAAGGTGTTCAGGAAATATCGAGTGTTTCCGTGTACAACAAAAACTGAAAACCGATATCAGCAATATTTTAATTCATTACAATAAATGCATACTACATATATTTGATAAGAGTTAAAATGATATTTAAAAAAAAAAAACAATAATAAAATAGAAACAAGAATAAAAAGAAAAGAAAAAAACAACAACAAAAAACGTCATTGTAGATTTAGTTACAATTTGTATTGGCAGTTCAAGCTATCTCTTAAAAGGAAATAGTTTGAGCAATAAAGGAACATGATATTAGCCTTATAATAACCAATATGCTATCTATATTTATAAAACTTTTTCAGATATATCCATTCAAAAGAAAAGCCATTCAAATGTACAGAGTGCGGAAAGGGATTTTGTCAATCAAGAACTCTCGCTGTTCACAAAACATTACACCAGGTATGCATGATCTATATATATTTAATACAAATGTACATTATTCGGTGTGGTGTTGGTAATTTTCACTCCGCATCACGGCATTAAGCCACGTTGAATTTACCAGAGTAAAGTTCAGCCAACGCATCGATTTGGGCATGGTGTCAGACAGAGTTGCCTTCAATTTCGCAAGGATCTGATAACTTCTGAACCCTACATGTCAGAGAAGCGGTATAGTTCGAATGAACGTAGGATAGATTTCATGAGCAATCGCAACAAAAATGACCTGCATCGCCTGGAATCGAACCCGGGTTGCCCGATTCACAGTCCAGCGCTCTACCTATTGAGCTAACTGGACGGCTTGAATATTTTTGGCACGCCCTGTTTAACGATGTACTTTGTAATTGCAGAAGGAACATGCGCATATTAGTGATGAAAAGTTTCTTGATTCATTACTGCTTTACAAACTGCAATGTGAATTTCATTTCAAACCAAGTTTTTTTTAACAAATAATTGACCTGTGGGTCACTTTTAATTGTTTTTGCAATTGTCTAAAGTAAACGTAATGCTTATTTACCTAATATTTGAGTTCCTTATTTGTTCTTGCACTAAATTTAAAGAAGATTTCTTGTTTCTTTCATTCTAGAATAATTCCGATGGATCGGCCATTTTAAAACCACCACGTGCCACAAAATTAACCAAACAATCAACAGTGATACCTAGACAACAATTATTGAATACGTCATCAGATCATCAAACTCTGATTGCGTCACCAGGGCAACATACTTTGACTACGTCACCAACTCAGATTACAATGTAGGGTTTAAAGTAACCAAAGAAGCTAACAGCGTCTCTTGAAGAAAATATTGTTACGTCACTTCCTTTCTGTCAGTATCAATGTCAATTATCTACCAGGGTTGGCGTTAAATAAACCTCATAAGGGACCATATACAAGTTCCAAGTAGAAGCTCGTATTGCGCCAGTGAACAATTTAGAATCTACTTTTTTAAACCGTTGAATTACAGGACTTTGAAAGGCGGATTTGATGTATTTCTTCAACAGTGTAAATAATGTACAGTATTTATTTTTTGTATATATTGCGCCAAGAGACAGTATTTTTTCATTCCAGTGACCTTTACACGGTACCTCAGCTGAAATATGTGCTATTTTTATATTCACTTTTTATTTATGTGCTATAATATATGTTTCATTAACATTTTTGTCATGATTTCAAAATTTACCCGTTCATTAATTATTGTTGTGCCATTTTGATTAGTAATTATTTTCACGATTCAAATATAAAGAGAATAAAAACTCAAATGACTAATTACTACTAGTATAACTTCGAGTTTTTAAAGTGTTAAAAATTTTGGACACCGATAAGTAATTTTGTCTTAAGAATCTGTGTGAGATAATAGTGAAGTTAATATTTTGCGTTTATTTTTGTACGTTGTGTTTTTAACGACACAGTTCGTTTAGGTTAACTATTATATGCAAATTAAAATGAGATTACATATAATGATGGTTTGTCATTTATTTCTTAACAACAACGACGACGACGACAACAACAACAGCAACAACAACAACAAAAACCGTCCCCATCGTCCCTCTCCTTAACCATGGTATATATTCCGTATGTACTACAGAATGTATTAATTATTTACGGAATATATATCCGTCGATGGCCTAGTCTATGTAAACTACATCATATTCTTAAATCATATCAATACACTTTTCTGTGCAATGAATTGATAACTCTCTATATTTAAGATTTAGACTTAAATAAAGTAAGCTTTTGTCCGCTGGCGGCAAAATGCTCTATCCATGCATGGTCTGCACCGCACCGTCCGCTGTTCAGTCAGTTCATATTCAGAACTTTTCCCTAAGAATGATTAAAGCTGCACGCCTCCAGATGAGCCAAAATGTTTCAAGAAAATCTATATCAAAATTTTAAGAAAGGTTAAAAGATTCAAGATCCAAGTTATATTTTACTTGTTATGTGCAGTTTAAGACTGATTTTGCATTATTATATTACCTTATTTTCACTGCGTTACTAACGCAGTAAGGGCTATTTTTGCATATGCTGACGACTTTTTGGTAATTTTCTTAGATTGTAAGTGCCGATCGCAATATAAAAAATCATTTTATTTGTTCACCGCACAATATCTTACCATTAAAAACATTTCCAAATTTTTTATGAAAATTAACATGAATCTGGAGGCGTGCTGCTTTAATGCATGGTTTTGTCCGGATTCAAAGATGTACTAGTTAGTCTAGCGTTGAAAAGGTTAAAGAATAACTATGACGTATGGAAAATATCCTCTCTCACGTGAGAAATTGTATACAAGTGAAGACAAAATTGGCTTAGGGTTGATTACGATGTTACCCAAAATAGGTAGTTATTCGTAGACGTTCATTTAGTTTTATATTCTTGTTTTTTATCCTTTGAAAAATAATCCAGCCAACACCCCCATCACCCATATTCAACAATTTCAAGTTCAAAAACAGGACGAGTCCATTATTCAAATGTAGCAGGGTAAAGTGTATGGAATGGAGCTAGTCTAAAAAATTATGATGGAATGATAACTACAATACATGACTAAAGGCCCATTATGCCTAAAAAAAGGTTTTATTTTAATTCTTATTTGTTTTTTTTATATTTGGTGACCTGTTATAGTTTCCAAAAACTTACTCATTTACCAATTGACTGAATCATATTTCCCTTCTTTTGCTGGAAATAAGTACACTACTTTGTTAGCCAATTTTGCTACTTTTAATATGACAAATTATCTCACATTCAGCTAACATGCTTGAAAAAACACACACACTATTTAAACAGTATTAACTCATGTTTGCCCCATCCAAATAATGAAAATTGTATTTGTTTTTTAGGCATAATGTGCATTTAATATATACTACTACTTTATTGTGAATTAACAACAGTGAAGACGACATAATTTTATCCGTACTAAAACGCAACTAAATATTCTACTGATTGGCTAGAACGATTGCCTTTATTGAATGTGACTCATGACAATATAAAAGACATTTTTTTTTACAAAAACGTGATTTACGTGCTAATTACAAACTCTATGCAAATTTATGTTATTCACATTTACATTGTACGTTTGCGGTTTACCCCACCGTCGTTTATATATATCCTAAATTTAAAGGGAAAACTAGACAGTTTGAAGCGTGTTTATATATCAAAGGGTCAATTGGGATAAGAAGACCTGTACTTTTCACCAACAGCTTCATATCATGAATTACGTGCTTGAATGCAACGTCATGCTCTAAAACTTCTTTTTATCTTTGATGTGGTCTCTCAAGTAATTAACTTAAAACAACTTGATGTTACAGATACATTGTCACAAGCTTCTTATTAAAGAGACCATCTTTAGTTTTAAATTATAATTTATTAAAATAATGAGCAATTAAAATTGATAATATTCAAAATAGTTTCATCAAAAGGGGCCTTGTTTTACAAAATGAAATATTGGCCGCAGTTGCAACATTGGTTTGTGAATAAATTATACATAAAGAATGTCAAGCAAAGGTCCATTATGCTTCAGAAATGAATTTATTTTCATTTCTCAAAAGCAAATTTTTATGGGTGAATTTCTATCCAAAAAGTTATGTATTGGCCAAATACCTGAATAATCTTTTTCTACTGTTTCTTTAAGCAATTAGTATTGTTAAAGTGACAAAGTATTTTGTATGGAAGTCAAAATACTTCCTTGTTTTCATTTTGCTATTTTCATTACAAAGACGTACACATTTAGCACTATTTTCTTCAGATATAATCTAAAAACCTTATAAGGTTCATGTTTGCCTGTGGCATATTTTTTTTCTTTAAGGACTTTACATTAAAGTGTAGAAAAAAAGCTATATATCTTATACAAAAATTATTGTTTTGATCTTAAAAAAGAATACTGCCAGAATGCTTGTTATGTATGAAATAAATATGGTAATTAATTGCCCTTAAAGCGAGTGGCGTATGCACAAAATCATTGCTTAACAGATAAAAGTCTACTTTAAAGAGCAAAATAACATTTTGTTCCTGTTTTTGTACATTATTCATCTGTGTTAAATAATAGAGACATAATTATATGTTACAACTTTATTGGGAACCAACCATATCATAATAAAACCAAATCAATTTTACCGCTGATAAATTTTATAAAAATATTTCATAAGATATAGATTTAAAATTTATACCCCTTTAAAATAGTGAAATGACCTATGAGAATTACCGATGGGAATTATTCGTTAATTTTTGTTGTTGTCATTTTATATATAGTACGAAGAGCGCAATTAATTGACAGAAAAGATTATTTCATTTGAATATGTTTGCATTCCGAAATTCTCCAGTTGCTATTCATTGTTCGTGACATTTCATTTTTGATAATCAAATGCCCTCATACCAATCGGAATGATCGGCTATTATGACCGACGAAAAGGTCCGAGAAGTTGCTGTCGCCCTTTCACAAAATATGATTTCATTCCATAAGGGGCGTCGCGCTTCGGCGTGGACGCAAATAATTTAAAAAAAAAAACCCGGACATTTTGAAAGTATTCGTAATTGTTTTTTTTTTTCTAATTCACGGATTTTTAAAATAATATTCTAGATGAAGGTTTGACCAATTGTATTTAATTTTCTAATCTATATATTCTTAAAAAAACATATTTTTAAGATGGGTTTGGCTTTTGGTGTGGTAACTTTCACACTCCCACAAAATTACTTGAACCTGGTATCTGCCAAAACAAACTCAAACACATACCTGATAAAATGGCGACACTTATGATCAAGTTTCGGGGAAAAAAATAATTTGTAATATGTTCCAGACAACAGTTTCAAACTAGTATATTTTCATTCGTCTTTTTAATGTTTATGCATGTGAACTTCGAATAGCATATGACTTTCTTGTCAATCTTATCATTGCCCCTTTAGTTTCGGTACATTCAAACGAACGCTTCGTTTTTTTTCCTTGTCGTTGTTGTTGTCGAGATTCTTTTTTACATCTTCACCGGTGACATACCTCAGACCTTCGAAAAAATGTTCGAAAATATGTCGAGGCATACCGTTTTCCCACGTCAGGTATTCTACGTAGGGAGCAGACAAGATACGGAGGTCGGGACCTTAGATAATGGAAAATATTTTCGCTGAAACAATGTGTCATTAATATACCGGTCGTAGATAAGGGGAGATAATTCAAGTGTATTCCGAGGTTACTGAAAAAATATTCGAGAAGTCGAATGACATTAATTTATTATGAGAGCGCGAAGAAAAATAATCCGATATTAATAATGGATGGGAACTATTTCCACTGTATATTACCTGGCATTAAACAGTTGGCAAATCATGCGCATTTGGAGATTCGATTTTAGACGATTTTATGCGTCTGTCCGTATGAATAACTGTCGTCTGCATCGACCCGAATATCGATATAACAGGTCGACAATTAGGAGACCCGGGTTCGCTTCCCAACTACAACTGACAAGTAATGATGTAGTTGTTCATGTATATGTTCCTGCTTCTGGCCGTCGTCCTAGACAAAACAAAATACAGTAAAGTCTGCTTTTCGACCGACCCCTTATTGCTGATAATAAAATTCCTATTAATAAAACTGAAAATTCAATTAAAGATCTGAAAGAATTACCGTTTGAAATAACTCTATATTTTTTTTTATTGATAATGTGTGCATTTAATTTTCGATTAGCTTAAAGTATAGAATAATCCCCATTTACGTCACATCCGGTAAGGGAAGTAACTCTTCTTCAACGTTAAAAGCTTATGTGCATTTTCATTGTTTAATATAACATTTATTATTATTAAAACCCGTTTGCATTAACATTCGTTTTTTTCTTTCCCAATTTTACCACTCATTTGGTTTCATACGAAAGACCGACTCGAGGAATTCATCAAATTTATGAATTCGCTAATTCACAAGGATTGTATCTTGAATTCATAAGTACTAACAGTACGAAAAACGTGAAGCTGAAATTGTCAATTTATAAAATGAAATAATGTATCTGTAAACTTCCGTAGTGTGTGATATTATAAGTTCAAGGGAGACAACACTTGCACAATACTTGCTATGACTGTGTACATAGTTATAGAACATGCATCTATTCACCATCATTATATGTGCTTATCGCATGGCTTGGAACTTTTTTTGTTTTTTCTTACAGACCCATTATATTCAGTACACTTTCAATGAGGATTAGAAAAATGTATTGATATATAATAATATAACAGCCTAGTGTTTTTTTAATTCTAAATACTAAAAAAAATCAACTTATATAATTAAAATATCAGTTTCTTTTCTTTTTTTTTGCATCTTGTATAATGATAATTGTCATACCACAGGATGAAGAAAAATTCTGCATTTATAGAAAAAAAAAACACTTTAACTTTCTGTTTATTATATACATTTTTCTGTGTTTCAACATTACAATTTGAAAGGCTCCCCGATATATTTTGTGTATTGGCTAAATTTAGAAGAAAGTGAAGCCAGTGGAAATACGGAAAATATGTTTTACTGCAGTGAAAAAAAAACTTTTTACAGTGAAAATACGGAAACACAAATTACGCATTTTATTTCAGAATTTTTATTCAATATTTCAGTTATAAGTATAATTTAATGATATCGTTCTTTTTAATTACAGAATTTAATTTTCGCCGATAGACTATACGTTAAAGAGTTAAGGAACATATATTTTCAGTGCTTGTAAATGAGTATATGAGCCGCGTCACGACAAAACTAACATAATGGGTTTGCTACCAGCATGGATCCAGACCAGCCTGCGCATCCGCTCAGTCTGATCAGGATCCATGCTGTTCGCTTACAAACCCTATAACTAGAGAAACTGATAGCGAACAGCATGGATCCTGATCAGACTGCGCGGATGCGCAGGCTGGTCTGGATCCATGCTGGTCGCAAACCCATTGTGTTGGTTTTGTCGTGACACGGCTCATATGATGAATAAAGTAAAACGTAACTGCCATGGCATATAGTAGGGTCTGCAACACTTGTAGATGGCTATTGGGCACTCAATATCGGCATACACTTGTTCATACTCTGTACGCAGGCACGTGAATAGTCGACACCTACCCCTACCCTCCACGCAATGGTAAACAACTGGATTATTGTTAAGGTTTTTCTTGCACCAACACTGTAAAAGACATATGTCAACTTTCTAACTTTTATGGCGGAGGAAGACATCAGGTGCCCCTCCGTGGATTATTTCAGACATGAGCAACAGGCCCATGAGAAGAACCAACGTAAGCTAGCTTGACCTTTTACGAATACGAATATTTAATGTGATTCGTTACGAATGTGGTCAAACACAGCTTCCTGACATGACACCATCTAAAGTCTCTGTCTGGACTCGAACCGTCAGTGGTGAGGGGCAAGTGATTTGAAGATAACGAGCCTAACCACTTTGCCACTGAGGTCCCTTTAGTTAAGAATTAAATATAACAGCCGGTTGAACCTGGTGATGCTCCCCAAAAAGGTTTTGGACACAGAAAGGTATACCTCTTGTAGTTTCAGAGTGATGTCCCGGACACAGTTCAAAGTTTAAAAATGGACAAAGGGCAATAACTCAGAAATAAATCGAGGCAGAGTTACGGTTCTCCGCATTGGACTTCAAATTAATGACTTTTTGTTGATATCTTTTGTAGTTTTAGAGTTGTGTCCCGGACAAAATTCGCATTGTATAATAGGGAAAGAGTTATAACTCCAAAATTAGGCAAGGCAGGGTTACGATTCTTTTGCACTGCACTTCAATTTAATAACATTTACCAACCTACAAAGTTTCTTGTTGATACCTCTTGTGAATTATGAGTTATGTCCCTGACAAAGTTCAACGTGTAAAATTGAAAAAAGAGCAATAACTCCAAAATAAGCCAAGATAAAGCTACGGATTTTTTTTGCACAGCACATTTACCCAATGAGATATACTTACCTACACATTTTCTTGTTGATATCTCTTACAGTTGCACAGTAATGTCCCCTGACAAAGTTCAAAGTTTAAAAAATGAACTACGCATGTACCCAATGAGAGCTATCTACCAACTAGGTCCCTTGTTGATATATCTTATAGTTTTAGAGTTATATCCCATCGTAAAATGAAAAAAAAACAAAAGGGCAAAAACTCCAAAATAAGTCAAGGCAGAGTTACGGTTCCTTTACACTGCACATGTATCCAATGAGATCGATCATTCTACAAAGTTTCTGGTCATTTGTTGTTTCAGAGCAATGTTCCGAACAAGAAAAGGGGTCTGACAGACGGACATCCGGACGGATAGACAAAACGACGACTAAATCCTCTACTTTTGGAGAGCATAAAAACATATAATTGAAACCATGATAGGCCTCGCATACTCCGAATGTTCTCTTTACAGTTCGTGCTCCGTTGTGAGTTATGGAACTTAAATATATATTGAAAAGTATAAACATGAATTAAAATACGCTTGTGTCATTTGATATCAAACTTATCAGGCGAGGATGATATGTGCTCCATGAATAAAGCATAAATTTTGCAACTAACTACTTGTGATTGGAAAGTAAAATGAATATACTGGGAAGAAAAATCGTGACAATTAAGATTACCCGAAGAAATAATATAATCAAGTTTTCAAAAGAGAAAAAGTTCAACACCTAGAAGCTTATTTCTTCTTATTTTATTGTAATTTAAAAGATTTTAGAAAAATATGTTAAAGGTCGTACAACATATGAGCCGTGTCACGACAAAACCAACATAATGGGTTTGCTACCAGCATGGATACAGACCAGCCTACGCATCCGCGCAGTTTGATCAGGATACATGCTGTTCGCTAACCAACCTATTACAAGTAGAGAAAATGATAGCGAACATCATGGATCCTGATCAGACTGCGCGGATGCGCAGGCTGGTCTGGATCCATGCTGGTCGCAAACCCATTATGTTGGTTTTGTCGTGACACGGCTCATATTTTAAACAAAAGGATACCAGGACGATATCTACCACGACGGCGATTCACACTGCGGCGATGTATGGCTGGTTCCTCTTCGTCCTGCGCAATGTTTGTCAAAGACTCTACTTCCGGTTGCTGGTTCCAACACAGCACTAGTGTTGGCATGGTGAGAAGAAACACATAGCATATGAAGTAGATAGTCCGTTTATCCATCTTGCTCTTTTTTGAGAATATCAAATACTGAAACAATAAATTTGATTTGATATGCTGTTCATTTAAAGAAGCCTTCAGCCTTTTTGTCGGAATAAGTTCCCCAAAAACAATTCTGTTGTTTCAAACTAAGTATTTCAGTACTTTTATCTTGAAAAGTGAATCATATCACTGTCACGTCTTCTCCAACATAGCATCTCGTGAGTATTGTGGCTAATTTGCGCTATTTCTTATTTTCGCTTTTTCTGCTCAAAAAGCGAAAAAGTAAAAACACAAAGGGACGACAAAGTTGGTCAACATTTCGGAACTTCGAGGCACAAAAGCGAAAATACAATAACAAGTATACATTAAATCTGTCGTATGTTCGTATTCCTTCTGTCATAGTTTCGCATTTTCGCATTTTTACATTTACGCATTGTTGATTTTTGCTTTTTCGCATTGTTACATTGCGAAAATGTAACAATTCGAAAAGCGAAAATGCGAACAGACGACAAAGTTATAGTTTGTAGTCTCTAAGTCATCGTGTATTTAGAACGCGAAAAAGCGGAAATACGACAAATGACGTTCGATTACACGACAGATTGTATGTGTCGTTAAAAACGCCTACATTCATTTTCCTATGGTTAAGCACACAATACAAGCATCGGAAATCGCACACCTTATTTGAAGCAATTAGGCACCTATGGTGCTAAAGATGTGCGTTGAGCAAGCATGATTAGGGAGATTGATGGATTGCGTCTAGTAGTCCAATGAATAAATTCTTTGGGCTCAAACTTATGGTTAGAAACAGCCACAAATTGTACGCTGACCAATGTAAATCCTGAGGTTTGAGAAAGAACTCAGACATTTTTTTTCTCTATAACAACCTAAAGGCCCTGGTGAGGGCAGTAAAGTCAGTAACAGTAACGTGCCACGCGCATGAAATCAACACATTCATGCACAATAATCATATTTAACATACCAATTTTAAACTTATTACAATAAATTAAAATGTTTGTCGAGTCTCATACGATAGTATGAAATGGTAAATTATACTTTATACACTTAACATAACTTATAAACCTCCATCGCGTATTTTGAAAACTTGGATATCACCTTTGTAAAAAAACTAACATGTGAAATTACCTTCATTTATTTATTTCAAAATATCAGTTACACAATTATAGTTTAGTCAATTTTGAAAAAAGAAGAAAAAAAGTAATAATAATAATAATAAAAATAATAATAATGGTGATAATGATGATGATGATGATGATAATGATGATACTCATAATAATAATCATAATGATAATAATAATAATAATAAAAATGATAATAATAATAATAATAATGATAATAATAATGATAATAATAATAAAATCATCATCATCATCATCATCATCATCATCATCCTTATCACCATCATTCTATCATCATTATTATTATACATGGACTCATCATCATTATATCATTAATAATACAAAGAATGAAACATTTTTTTTTTATTGTAATAGGCAGTCAATCTTTTAATTTCATAATGTATCATAGCAAACGAAAACAAGTACTTACATATTTGACTATGTCAGATCAGTTATCGTACATAAATGATTACAGCCAAATCTGTTCCCGTAAGCACACTTTATCTATTGCGCAGCAGCGAAATATTAGTCGTTTTAGCACAAAAGTATATACTTGACAAGCACTTCAGATCCCCGCTAATGAACATTTTTTTACGGATACAACACAACACAGTGGAAATTATATATATTTTATACTATAAGTGTGTAATATGAATATGAAATTAGACAAAGCTTATGAACGGGGAAGTGGGTAAAAAACCCGTTCATTTTCCGTTTTAAAGGTGCCAAGCGGTATTTCATGTACCGCTTTCGTTTTCACTCACCGATATTTTGTAATTATTTTTTTTTCAATTTCCTTATAAATATACACGTGTTGTCTATACAAAGCCCTTTAACTTTACCGTATTAATATACAAAGCACGTTAACTTTACCGTATTAATATACAAAGCCCTTTAACTTCATCGTATTAATTAGAAAAGCCCTTTAACTTCACCGTATTAATTAGAAAAGCCCTTTAACTTCACCGTATGAATTAGAAAAGCCCTTTAACTTCACCGTATTAATATACAAAGCCCTTTAACTTCATCTTATTAATATACAAAGCCCTTTAACTTAACCGTATTAATATACAAAGCCCTTTAACTTCACCGTATTAATATACAAAGCCCTTTAACTTCACCGTATTTATATGCAAAGCCCTTTAACTTCACCGTATTAATATACAAAGCCAGTCTTTAACTTTACCGTATTTATATGCAAAGCCCTTTAACTTCACCGTATTAATATACAAAGCCCTTTAACTTCACCGTATTAATTAGAAAAGCCCTTTAACTTCACCGTATTAATTTACACAAAAGTGTCTTTAAATTCCGCTTATTATAAAAAGTACATTTATTACACAGCTTTTGGAGAGGACGGTGATATTGTCCATAAATGTGCCATTCGCAGTCATACAGAATAGCTTTTATTAAAATTGTCTAAGTTCTAAGATATGAATTATAATTTTGATTCGCATATTGTTTCAAATTTTCAAATATTTTCTATCCTTTCTTCATTACTTTTACCAAAACAAACTTCTGTGTTTAAAAAAACCATCTCTATGAAAAAATAAAACAATCAATTGATGTTTGACTTGAAGATAAAGCTTTGTTGTAATTAAGATGTTCTTGCAAAAACTTCGACGTTTATGGATACAAATAACATGGAAGATTGATTTTACAGTGAGTGACATGTCACTGGGTCTATGAAGCAGTGGACAAGGGTGCAAAGGATGTTCCTAAGAAGCCACTGACGTTAATAGGCGTGAAGCATCAGTCAAGTGCGTCAAATAGTGTTCTTATGAAACCACTGACGTTAATAGACATGAAGCATCAGTCAAGGGCGTCAAATACTGCTCTTTTGAAACCACTGACGTTAATAGATATGAAGCATCAGTCAGGGGCGTCAAATAGTGTTCTTAAGAAGCCACTGACGTTAATAGGCGTGAAGCATCAGTCAAGTGCGTCAAATAGTGTTCTTATGAAACCACTGACGTTAATAGACATGAAGCATCAGTCAAGGGCGTCAAATACTGTTCTTTTGAAACCACTGACGTTAATAGATATGAAGCATCAGTCAAGGGCGTCAAATAGTGTTCTTTTGTTACCATTGACGTTAATAGATATGAAGCATCAGTCAAGGGCGTCAAATAGTGTTCTTATGAAACCACTGAATTAAATAGGCGTGAAGCATCAGTCAAGGGCGTCAAATAGTGTTCTTATGAAACCACTGACGTTAATAGACATGAAGCATCAGTCAAGGGCGTCAAAAGGGGTAAAATGAAAAAAAAGTTACATCTTCTTTCAGATTCACTTCTGTTTCATAGAAAATGACAAACCACTGACGATAACAGGCGCGAAGCAGTAGTTAAAGGAAGGCGTCAAATGGTGTACATATTGAACAGTTACAATTTATTTCAAATATGCTGTTGTTTTATAGAATATGACAATCCGCCCTGACGTTAATTGAGATATGTGACAATGAAGCAGCAGGCAATGACGTCAAAAGGTGTACATAGGAAATAATAAGTAACAGTTTATTTCAGATTTGCTGTTTGCTAACAGGAAGTGATATTATATTAAGCATTAGACATGTGAAATAAGAAGTGTTTATATGAAAAGAAAAGTACATTTTCATAAGTTTTTATATTCGAGACAAACATGTTTTACTGATCCTGTATTCAAAATTGTTAAACCCTGATTAATACATTGTGCATGAATGGAATTATTCTCGTATCGGATATTGCTTGAATGTGCGTTTTATATATGATTTCTGTACCTTATGTTAAATATGGAGTGATACCTTAAATATTTCTTTTAACGGTGCACGTGTATTTCGTGGGTAAGTGGGGGTGTATATATATATAGTGTTTTCGCGGCTTTTCTTCACTCGACGCTTGCATTTGATAGTGCTTCAAGAACTTGTTTAAATACGCCCACCCGACCCCATCCATTCTTACAACAAACGTTTTTGTAATGAAATTTTTTAATACACATTCTTGCTGAATATTAAGGCTTTTACATTATACATGACACACAAGAATCGTTTCTTGAAATATAACTTATTAAAGTTGCATAATTTAATGAATTTTCTTTGTTTGAATAAGCATAACTTGTTATTAAATATTTTACAGATTACACAATTTATTATTCTGTTTGTAATATTTTGTAACCACGTATACAGATCTGTTTTCGTTTCGTTTCAGAGTTTCGGATACAGCAACAAGGCTTTTCATCTGATGAATCCCAAATACAAGAACATAACAGGTACAGATAAATACCGATTGATTCTAGTTATTTGTAATATGTACTACCAAATATAAAATATAAAGCATTATTCGTATGTATTTGTTGTTGTTTCTTGCTATAGTAGATTAGAGAATAATTGATTTATTCTCGTCATAAGAGAGAGTAAATGATTGTTTTTATCACCTAACTCACTGCAAAACATGGTTAAATTACGAAGTTATCTTATGTTTTACCCCTGTTTGATTGTTTGTTTGTTTGTTTGTTTGGATTATACGTCACACCCACACAGTATAGGCCATATGGTGACATTCCAGCTTTACTGGTGGAGGAAGACCTCCGGTGCCCTTCCGTGCATTATTTCAGGCACAAACGGGCATCTGAGTAGAACCACCGATGTTCCGTAAGCTAGCTGGACAGCTTCCTCACATGAAAGAATCCAAAGTCCCTGTTGGGATTCGAACCCACAGCGGTGAGGGGTAAGTGATTTGAAGTCAACGACCTTAACTCGGCCACGGACGCCCCAACCCTGTTTGAGTCTGAGGTGAAGTAGCGCTTATTCATATCTTTTTGTCTCAATTTGTCTCTCTTAAAGGAGCTCCTCTGTGGTCTAAAGACGAAAAATATATAATTAGAAACATTACATATATCAAATGCACAATAAAGAAATATAGTCAGAAGGAAATTAAAATCAAGTGATAGTGAAATTCTCAGCCCGATTTGAGTGGAATCAATTTTAGGACATTTTGCATGATTAAATGATTATTCTGGAAAATATTGGGTGAAAGAAAAATCTGAAAATTTGAACACAATCTTTTGATGCAGACCTACATCAAATACCGGTATTATCCAAATTTCGGAAAAATATTTATAGACCCGTTATGTCAAAAAAAAAATCAAAAAAAATCAAAGCACAGAAGGCACTGAATTTGTTTGGGTCTCAGAATGTAAGAAAGGGGAAGGTTGTGAGATTATAAAACAATTTGTTTTTGTATAGTGCAACAAATGCTTTCCAGCATTTTAATTGTAGTAGATTGGCTATAAGACTAATTGCAACACTAATATTCGATCCAATGTTTATTTGACTTAAACAATTTGAAAAAAAAATAGTTGCCGTAATTGGGGTTTGAACTCCAGACCTCTCGCTTCCTAAGCGAGCGCGCAAACCCATCGACCACAGTAAATTTATATGTTTAAAGCATGAAGAAAACCATATTATTCAATTTAGGGTTTGTAACGACGCTAACTGTTGTTTAACACTTGTGTAAATAATAAGCATGTATATTTATAAAGAATAAAACAACATTAGAAATCTTCGACCATATCATTCGGGAATTATTTTGCTTGAAAATTAATCCGACTGTCATGTGACCATATTTATGCAGTGATCTCCCCTAAACTTTTCAGCCTAAGTGTTACATATAAAGGGAAGTACCCGCTTCAAAAAAGTGGACTACTTTCTGCACTTGCAATTAACAGCATTAGAGTCTGAAATTTCGCTACCATTATTTGTTTGGTCTGACGACCCAAACAAATAAAAAAACAACAAAAAAAACCCTCGGTTGAATCCCTTTAACGAAATAGAATTTGAATGTTAAAAACATCATGACCACTTAACCGACAATTGTAAGTAGGGAAAAGGAAAATCAAACTCATATGAAACTCTTAAAACAACTGTATTGTTGCATACATACAAGTACTTAACATATTCACTTGACGTTTGTTTGTTCGTTTATATTTTTTTCAATATAATTGCGTCTCTCCGTTCATTTCAAATACATTTTAAGACATTTTATCATTGAAGTACCGTCAGAATATTGTTTAAACGTTTGATACGTATTAATTTAATTTTGTTTTAAAGTAGATTGGTCTACAAGGGACACATTTCCTATATGTATTTTCTAATATTGATAAAAAACAATAGAAGTTTATCATTTAGATATTCTAATAAAACATTTCTAAGAAAAAAAAATGTTGATTAAATTTTAAGTGATTTGGTTTCAACAGTTATATGATCTGGGACCAAATTGTCACAGATATGATAAATAATAAATTTTGTTCTGGAACATTGTATTATCTGCTATATAAATATATATGATATCGGATCATGTATGTAACACTTGCTAACAACATCCATGTATGTATAGTTCTTATGTTATTTGATGTTATGTCTGACACTACGATCTATCATCGTACATATTTGAGCCGCGTCATGACAAAACCAACATAATGGGTTTGCGACCAGCATGGATCCAGACCAGCCTGCGCATCCGCGCAGTCTGATCAGGATCCATGCTTTTCGCTTACAAACACTATAACAAGTAGAGAAACTGATAGCGAACAACATAATCCTGAT